GACTCCAGGGCATCCGCATACTCAATTACATCAACGATTGGTTAATACTAGCTCAATCGGAGCAGACGGCGGCTCGGCATCGAGATGTCATCCTTGCCGATATGAGAGAACTGGGGTTAAGACTAAATGCCAAGAAGAGTGTTCTATCTCCGCTACAGAGAACCACTTATTTAGGCGTGGTGTGGGACTCAACCTCGATGCAGGCACGTCTGTCTCCTGCTCGAATCGAGTCAATCCTCACGACAGTCACGAGAGTAAGAGAAGGCCAGTCACTCACTGTCAAACATTTTCAAAGGCTGTTGGGCCTGATGGCAGCGGCGTCCAACGTGATACCTTTTGGCCTGCTGTACATGAGACCCTTGCAGTGGTGGCTTAGAACCAAGGGATTTTCCCCGAGGGGGAATCCGCTTCGCGTGATCAAGGTCACGCGGCGATGCTTACATGCCTTAGACATGTGGAAGAAACGTTGGTTCTTGGTTCAAGGCCCGATGTTAGGGGCTCCTTGTCGTCGCGTAATGCTAACAACGGATGCCTCTCTCACGGGCTGGGGAGCGGTCATACGTAACCTAGAGACGTTCCCTCTCTTCTCAACCCATTACCATTAAATTATTCATTTTCCATATGACTTAAAAGTCTAGTTTTTACATTTTCAATTCTGATTTTTACCATGTTTTCCCCATGCCGTTTCTGCATCTACTCACTGGAGGTCAATTTGCAAACCCGGGCATTAAGGAAGTGGAATAATGCAAAATGTATTTTTATTTATTTATTTTTTTCCTGTTTGTGCGAGTTAGAAAAACTTTGTTTTGAAATATGGTACCATTCCTCTGATCATGTACCCACATGAAATGTTTTTATTAAATGAACAATGTTTTGTTAACATGCAAACAAATTGAGTTCTGTTGTCTGACAAAAGTTTCAGAGGTCTTCAGTGCATGCAGACAAGTACTTTATATTCTAAAGTACTGCAGGGAAATGTAAATTATGTGACTAAAAGTTTACATTTAAGTTTTATGATGGATATTCTGTTTGAAAAAAAAAGTTTTTAAAAGGTCAGACATCAGCCTACACAAAAGGACTCAATACCTCTGTGAGGCCTTGTTGTTTATCCTTCCTTTGTTTCCCCAGATAGCAGTTCACACAGAGCACTGACAAATCATGTATTCACTCTTTCTCTTCCCACATTCTTTGCTTTGTCATGTGCACTGCAGTATGTGGAACTGTATTGAAAATGGACAGTAAAGACAGTAATAAATCTTTGACAATAAAGTTTTGAATCCTTCATGCGTATTGTAGCTGCACTGAAAATCAGCATGTAATAATAAAGCTTTGTAATTCTCATAGCTCAACATCATTAGAATTTTTCTCTTTTGTTTGATCTGTAATGCAGCTTCTGCTTTTAATTGAGATGAAATTTAAGTTTTAAGTGAAATTGAATTTTAAATTTGATGTGATACTCTAAAACCTCTCACACATCTAAATAACTCCATCCTTTACCTTTGTTCTTCAGCCTTCAGTTCAGCAATTCATTCACTGGATGGGGCCACCCTGCGCAGCGATTTTGTGTCCATTTTAAAAGAGTTTGGCAACCATTTTATCCAGGAGGCAGTGTTTGGCTTTGAGGAATCCTGTACCATATGGTATCCCAACAAGCAAGTCCAACGCCAGCTGTGGTTGGAGTATCAAGACATCAGCAAAGGTAAGCTGTATAAATATATTAATTAAAAATATTTAATTAGCTGGTTAGGTCATAATATGTTGGATCTCATTCACTAAAAAGCACATAAAAGTTGCATACTATACACAGATATATGTTTGTTTGTTTGTTTGTTTTGTAAATAGTAAGACTTATTTTACAATTGCTTATTTAATTAATAATAATAATCTGACTTGTGCAAAGAATTGTGCTTGTTTATGCAATTATAATAATAGTAGTAGAAATAAAAAAATTAACCCTACAATATTTTGATTATTATTTGAGTTGTAAGTATTATCCTAAAAATATAACAGATGTGTTACCTTGTTGATAAATTGTGTTTTCTGTATGAAGACACATTGGTTTTGCCCATGGTTAGTAAATGAGGACCATTGTTTTTATTATTTAGGATGGACCGTTTTATTTTATTTTAAGAGAAGATAAACCTTTCAATTTTATGAGGAGATAAACAGAGCAAAACTATTTTACCTGTCCATAAATTATGCAAAAGTTTTGTAAACGTTGTAATATTTATACCTGGCTAAATAAATAATAATAAGGCAGCAATTTTAAAAATAAACCATTGTCTAGATATGCACATAGAAGTTTGACCCGTTGCACCCAAAGTTTGGTTTTGTCATAATATAAAGTCCATTTTGGAAAGGATGTGGACAGGAGCTGAGGAAGTAAAACTCAACACAGCCCTTGGGAGGTTGGTCACATCTGTTCAGCCAATAAAAGGGGGCAAGGGCAGATGTGAGATGGCTGGCTGGCTATAGCTGAATGCAGGCCAGCGTTGCTCCATACTCAGAAGGCCCCTGGGCAGGTTCACCTAGTTTTTATGCTTCAGCTCCACTCAGCTGAGCCCATATATATGTACAAGGTCAGTTAGGACGGAACTCATTTGGAAAGACAACAAAAGTGTGATGCTAACAGATAAAGAACCACCAGAGATGGGCTAGACAGTCTATAGATTGATTCAGCCAAGGATGATTTGGGTTTCTATGCTTATGGGTAGTCTATCAACAATGCGCCCTTGAGCATTCATGAAATAGCAGTGCTGTGAACATGAAAAAGTGCATTGTGATCCACACAGGCTTTTCTTCGAGAAATAGGCACCAAGGTCATCTGACAAGGCATATAGGTCTTAGACTGTACTCTTCTATTTTAAATGAAAACGTCTCATGTTACGCATGTAACATTGGTTCCCTGAGAATAGGGAACGAGACTCTGTGTCCTCTAGAGGGCGCTATGAGGAATGCCTCTGGCATAACCGGTGTCTGAAGCATGAGTTTAAACACGACAATGAACTTGACATTGGCAGGCGGCAGCCTATGACATCACAACTGGTTGGGCCAAGAGTATAAAAGGGCACATGTGCAATACATCATCCACTTCTTGTCTGAAGGAGACGTATGCAGAAATGCCTGAAGCATGGCAAAGGGATGCAGCTTCTCATTCCCTATTCTCAGGGAACCATGGTTACATGCCTAACCTGAGACGTTCCATTTCGAAAGGGAACTTGCGCTGCATCCCCTAGAGGGCGCTATGGGGAACTTTATACCCACATCGCTATGCTGAAGGGATGAGTGCCTTATTGGCTGAGCTAAGTCAAAGACTCGAAAGGGTTATTACCCCTGCACCAGAAATGCGATCATAGACTGGAGCTTCTCAAGAACGGAGGCCTCAGCAGGGGAGAGGAAGCCTAACTACGTTCTTATTCAGGGCAGCATCCAAGGAGGCTCACAGAGAGCCTAACACTCAGAGCTAACTGGCCCGCGAAGCTCTGCAGAATGGAGGGCTAAATACGATTAGAGGTCTGCATTCCCGACCAGATTTTTTTACCGAATAAAATGCGGTAGCATTCTGTAACTCAGTGTAATTTGAATGGGAGCAGGCGGTCTAACAGTATCCCGTTCCCGACATCAATTCAGAACAGCATATCTGTGCTTTATTCTTATTGACCACTGGTACAGCCTACACTCTGACTGTTAGCACTGGCTACACGCATGCTTTCAGCGTCACACGTTTTATTTGCGGGGTCTGTGTGCAGCATGTGCGTAATGATGCTCAGAGCAGACTGTACCGGTAGTAAAAATACAGCCCTCAGACAGAACAGGCAGGTTGTCGATGAGTGACAGATCAGAATAAGAATGGAGCAAAGTGTGGATGCGCTGTCCTTGAAGGACGTTCAATTCTGTTTTGTTTATATTTTGCTTTTCCTGCTATGTTAACAGAAAAATGTCAAATGAATTGAGTATTTTGATAAGACGAATAAAAATAGCTAATAGGCTATTACATGTTTTTTTTTCTCTCTGTGACACTTTTTCCTGTTCTGTTGTAAATGTTAATGGGGTCATATGATGCTGCTAAAAAGAACATTATTTTGTGTAATTGGTGTAATGAAATGTGTTTATGCGGTTTAAAGTAAAAAAAAAAACACATTATTTTCCACATACTGCTCATTATTATTTCTCCTCTATGCCCCGCCTTTTTGAAAGGCGTCGATTCTTACAAAGCTCATCGGTCTGAAAAGCAAGGTGTGCTGTGATTGGCCAGCTATCCTGTGCGTTGTGATTGGCCGAATACCTCAAGCGTGTGTCGGAAATGTTACGCCCCTCACCATATTGTGATGATGCCCTGTCCAGCCGGAGCGACGAGACAAAAACATTAAAACCCATTACAAACGAGGCATTTGTTGTATCCAGTGGGGACATAATTACTGATTATAATGACTTATACTGTCTTTTTACGCATTGCATTGCATCGCGCCGCGTAAACATAAAACCCTGTCTGCATTTGTGATCGGAGGAATGACAAACAACAAATGCTACTCTACACTGCCCAAAACTCGCGTTTGAATCATCAGTGGCAAATCCTTTAAATGAAAACGTACTTACAGAATGTGAGTCAGAACTCCCGGCATTGTAGGCAACTCTCCCAGGATCAGTAACCACTGATTTGTAGTCGTGTCCTCTTTTGGAAGACCAAACAAAGTAGTTTAGCTTTCACAACGAAAAACACAGCGGCCTAGCATGAGCGAAAACCGCGGCTTAGCGTGAGCTGAGGCCGGGCTAGAGTGAGCAAAGGCGGCGGGGTCGAGAACGGCGCACCCGGCGGATTTGACGAAGGAGCGGCAACCACATGTGACGACTCCGGCCTTCGTCCACGGTGAAAGCCGATTCGGCGATCCACAGCACTAAATTGATGTATTCCCTCAGCGACCAGCACAGATCAGCTCTAGGCATGACGAAGCGGATATCGTCCTCTTTTGGAAGACCAAACAAAGTAGTTTCGTTTTCACAATGAAGCACACAGTGTCTCCACGGCATGGCGGCAGCAATACTACAGTGAGAATAAAAGTTACGCCTTCTTTCTTTGCGTGAACATTTGGGCGGCATTATGCAAATCTTCCCACATAGTGAGGTAGATATGTGGGGGCATGTTAGAATGAGCCGGTTTAGGTAGGCGTGGTTAACTTTTATAAAGAATATCTCTTTGGATTTGAGACATTAGTCTTTGCAACTTTACAGATCTTCTTTATGCACCAAGAGCTTGTAACATTCCAAAGAGAAAGGAAAAATTTTAATCGCATCATATGACACCTTTAAACAAATTGTATCCTGACAAGACGAATAAAAATAAGAAATGAAATTTTTGTACACCATTTTTATTTTCTCAGACATTTTTTTTTCCTACTGTATTGCATAAAATATTAAACAAATTTTGTGTCTTAAGATAATTAATATAAATTCAAGTCAAAGTCAATAAATTCAAGACTCTTGACAAGACGAATAAAATAACAAAATTTTTTGCAGACTACAATTTTGTTTGTTAATCTATCTCTCTTTCTTTCAGTAGCGGAAATTTAAATGTGAGATTCTGGAAATTAGATCTAAATTTATCGGAAACGGTCGGGAAGCAAATTATTCTAAGCAGACAGCGGGTGAACAAAGAGTGAATATATAGTGGGTGCGGAATATAACCTTTGCGGGAGCAAAGAGCATTACATGAGATCTTTAATGAGAGGTGGGCTAGTTACACTCCACACTAAGGTCAGTAGCCAAGGATGAGCCCAGAGAGCCTACAACTTAACTTATACTCTACTGCCTAGCCGAGCTCTAGAAGCGGAGGCCTCAGTATGAATGACTCTCCAAATCGAGAGGAAAGCTAACAATGCCACACGCTCAGGATATCTTGTAAGGAGGCTCACTGTCATAGGCTACCGCCTGCCAATGTTAAGCCCTGTGTCTGAAATTGCCCCCTATACCCTTAAAAAGGGCACTATTTGAGGGGACAGCCATTTTTAGTAGTGTCTAAAACCTTAGTGGACATTATCAAATGCACTCATTCAATGCACAGCAATAATGAGTGTCCTACTGATGTATGCTCAACGACTAGAGAATACCCATAATGCACTGTGTGAATGAATTGCCGCATCTCGCCAGAAGATGGCGTCCGCAGCTGATTCATCCATCCATCCATCCATTCATTTTAAAAAACACTCATCCATGGTGTACAGTGTAATACAATACAGGTATAATTCAATGTAAAATGATTATTAAATTGTTTAATTAGGGTTTATACATAATTTCCATGACAGAGTTCAAGATAAATCCTTCGTACTACTGGAGCTGCCAGTTTCAAATGATTATTAAACAGCAAGCACAAACTATGCAAAAGCGGCAGTCCTCCCGGTGCACTAAGTGTCGGAATTCACTCACTCATTTTCATTTACTGCTTTAAGTGAACTGTATTAGGGGCCTAATGTAGGGAATAATGAATGAGGGTATAGTGGGCGATTTCGGATTCAGCCCTGTTCATTGTCATGCTTAGACTCATGCTTAGACTCATGCTTCAGACACCGGTCATGCCGGAGGCATTCCCCATAGTGCCCTATTGGAGACGCAGCACGAGTTCCCTTTCGAAAGGGAACTTAAGGTGAAAGGGATGACAACAAGGCAAATGAAAGCAAAATGAAAGCTGTGGGTGCTCTGCAATTTGATAATCCAACACTCAGTCATTTGTGGAAGTGACTTTTGTTGGGCTATGAAAATCTATATCTGAGGTGTCTGTGAGTACACAATGTTCTGCTAAAAGTGTTTCGTGCTAATGGCCATGTCACAGCAGTAATAATCCTGCTGAAAAGACCAACATATGTAATCAAATTTGTCAGGTCAAACGATCACCCAGAAGAAGAGATTTATCAATAAATTCTTCCAAAACCAAATTATGTGAGATGTGCAATACACATTCATTAAATTGTCTGTTTATTTTAGGGCTGTCAAAAATAACTTGTTTATTTCTGAGCTCAGTATATATATATATATATATATATATATATATATATTGTTTGATGCATTGAAAATAATTCATGCAATTAACATAGCATCTGTATTTTCCTTTGCTGAAGGGAAAATTATTATTATTTTTTATGATGGGTTCAATTGAAGATTGTTTTATGTTTACTTAAATTAAAAGTTCAAATATTTTTTCATGTCCTGTACAAGTGTAAACCTATTAAATGTTAAAAAGGATGTCACCATTTTTATTGTAATGTTGAATTAATAGTTTTCTTAATTTTATCCTCAGAAACCCATACTAAATAATATTCTAACCCATACTTGCCTTTATTCAGAGTACGTAGTAATTAAAAAATATTTAAAGTCCCCCTGTAGTGAAAATCAAGTTTTTTATGTTGTTTATTTGTCTATGTGGTGTTTTTAATATGCTTTTAGACAAACCATGTGCCAATCCATTAATCGACACCACTGCTGAGTATTTTCTCCTTAAATGTGTAGTTTCCCAATGGCAGTCCCAGAAATACGGTTTGAAACAGCCCTCGGTTTGCTACGTCACAAACCCATAACCAATCACGGCAAGGGATTGATTCCTATCACTAGCATGCAAAATATACCAATACCAGCACAAATCCAAAAATAAATCAGAGCAAAAAACCCATGAAGCTGTGGTTTAATGTGAATTTAGAACTTGCATTATAACCCGCAGCAACAGTGTAAAAGTAGCCTGGAGTCAGACCCACCTCTCCCGCATCGGCGTCTGCACTTCACACGCATATGCATGCTCGCAGGCGTGAATTAAGAATCACTAACGGCTGTATTCGAGTCTTCAAGGCATTTTGAGGACACAACATCGTCAAGTAAGTAACTTCAACGAATGTTACAGTATTCACTGTAGTTGTCCGCTAGAAAAAACATAGTTTTATCAGTCATTATCCGTGTATGCCATTGTTTTGTATTTACTACAGTTCAGTGGATCAGGAGGCGCTGGCTGGTGTGACTGAGTGGAGGCGGTGCTAATTTGCATATCCATAGATCAGCGTATAGTAAATGAGGCAAGGGTGTTAAGTTACATTCAAGCTATTTTAAGGCACGAGAAAATTATTTTCACAAGAAAAAACATTTAAATATGTCATGTTGATTATCAAAGATAAGCTTTAAGGGATAAAATATTTGACTACAGGGGGACTTTAAAATATACCATCTTTGTCATTTCTACATTAATTTGGAAATTCAGTGT